ATATTAATGAGTTTTTTGGGTTCATTGAGAACATGGTTGTTGTTCAATAATAAAATTATTCCTCAAAAATACAACTTGCCTAATAATTCTGCACTCCCTGTAGTGAGGTCAGCAACACATAGTGATGTGGTGGTGCAGAGACTGTTCTGCTAATCAAGCTAACCGTGCCATAAAAGAAAAAGAATTTAAATCTGCCTTCGAGAGAAGAAGGCTGAAGGGTTCAAAATTCACTGATGAATTCAAAGAGCCTGGTTCAAGAATTTTCAGCTCCCTGCTAGCTGCAGCTTTGTCCTTACTTCTACTCTGCATGGTAGTAAGGGTGGGAAGGTGTGCTGTAGAACTGACAGATGGGTTCAAGGTGGGGGTAAGATTATATCAGACATCAACTCTGAGCCATTCTTGTTTGCAGTGGTGATGGAGAGGCTGACAGATGAGGTCGGGAAAGAGATTCTGTGGACTCTGGTTTTTACACACGACACTCTGATCTGTAGTGAAAGTAGGGAGCAGATGGAAAAGTGGCTGGAGAGGTCGAGGTATGTGTTGGAGACACGAGGAATGAAAGGCAGTAAGCAAGACAGAAATCATGTGTGTGAATTAGAAGAAAACAGATGGAAAAGTTGACGTGTAGAGTGAGTGAAGGTAGAGGAGATTAAATACCACTCAAAGCAGCAGCCTTTTAGATAAAATTGAAGTGAATGCTAATGTGGGTTCTTAACTTCAAAATGAACTCACTAATACAATTAGAATTCAAAAGACAAAGGCTGAGCATCCATCTATCCATATTCTGTTTATGCAGTTCAGGGTAACTGGGGGACTGGAGCCCATCTCAGAGGTCAGGACGGGCTCCATCCTGCACAGAATGGTGGGCGATCGTGGCTCAAAGAGTTGGCAGTTTGACCTTCTTTCCTCCTTTATGTTGACTTACTTCTGATTGGCTGCCACTCATAAACCGAACATTTGAACAGAAGGTAGGTGGGGCTACTATGCTCATAGTCAGGGATGTGGGCCTGAGGGTGCATATTAGGGAGATCCCCTTTCAATACATAACATTTACAGCAGCCTGAATCCTGACCTTTGGCTTACAAAGACTTTTGAATGCATTTAATATGAGCATCCACCACTCAAACAGTGCATGTAATAGAAACTCGGTACTGTTGCTGCTGCAGTAACTTTAATATTCAATATTTTTTCCTTCATTGTGTGGAGCTGGAAAAGAGAACATGATGTGTCCTTGTAGCAGGGAGTGTCCTGCTACAGAGTGAGTCAGATGTTTTCTAAGTGAACATAATTACATTCTTCTCCTCTAGAAAATAGAAAAAAATATTATATTGCTATGAATTATATAAGCTGCAACCAGTACTAAAATATAAGATGATTAAGTGATGGTACAGTTTATTAGATCACTGGCTCTCTCAGTCTGCATGTCACACTGTCCTTGGAAAAGATGCTCGAGCCCATGGTACTTGGAATGTATTAGCATGCAAATGTATGACATAAATAAAATGCTGTTTTGTTGTACTATAGGTTTCTGAGTGCTCACTAGAATCAACACTTCACTGCTCTCTGGTCAAGGCCCTGCTTATTTAAAATGATAAAAACCCCAAGCTTGAGCCTTCTTTTCTTAGCAGACACACACCAAACTTGTCATGTATTGCTAAGATCTTAGCAAAGGCTGTGGATAAGGAGCTTATAGCGGTTTTAGATAAAAACTGTATTCTTGATAAATGTAAATCTGACTTTCGCAGCGCTCATTCTTCTGAAACAGGTCTTTATACAGTGTCCATGCACAGTGATGCAGGAGGATGTTCTGTTTTGCTGATGTTGGACTTTACCTCTGCTTTTGATACTGTTGGACATCACATCTTGTACAATAGGGTAACAATAATAGGGTAATAAATCACTGTGTGGGTGCATCAGGATCTGTGTTGAAGTGGTTTGCATCATAGCTGCCTGAACAACGCTTTTCTGTGACAGTTTCTCATACAGATCCTTGTTTTCTTCTCTTAGCGACAGTGTGCCACAAGCTTCTGTTTTTGAGCCCTTATTGTTTGTATTACACCTGCTCCCTCTTCAGCACATTTTGAGCATCTTTAAATGCATTTGTTACCGCTGCTATGCAGATGACATTCAGTTATGTATCTCTTTTACGCCTCAAGATGTCTCTAAGCTGTAGATCCTGAATAGGATCTATTAAAAGTTAGGTGGCTGACAACTATCTCCAACATAATGAAGGAAAAACTTATTTCTTTGTGTGTCCCTGATGTATTTGTGATTAAGATAAGCTCTTGGACCCCTTGTGACAATTGCTAAATCCTCAATGGGGATCCATGGTTCAACTTTATACTTGTTTTTAATACTTAAGTGTCACATTGTGTTCCATTTGTGTGGAGATTATTATAAATGCATTTATAATTGGTGTACTGTAATTCAATGTCTGCTTGTCTAAGCAAAAACTAGTTGAAATCTCTGCAGGTTGACGTTGACCTTTCACCTCTATATGCCCCAAATAGGTCCCTGAGGTCATGTGATCAGGGCCTCGTAGGAGTACATCATTTGAGGCTAAAAACTAAAGGAGAGAGCTTTTCTAAAAGTGGCCCCCAGACTGCGAAACTCTCCACCTCTGAGCTTGACATCTCTGGATTCAGATCAATT